TCGTCACCTTGCGTTTTGCCATACCCTATATACCACATAGCAAATGAATGAAGTCAATTAAAATGGTCTGACGATGTAAGAACAATCAAATATGTATAACTACTTGCAGGGTGTTTTGCTTTAAAAAAGTATAAGTTTGCTCATTACCTCAATTATGTATCACCATGTATATTTAAGAATAATTGTTAAATATGGTCATACAACTTTTATATTAAAAATTGCTTCGTATTTCCAATAATAAAATAGCTATCGATCAATTATGCACTGATGGGACACCCTGTATATAGATTATTGGCTAACATGTTGGTATCGCCGGATAGGCAAATTTGTAGGGAATTTTATGCTAACATAATATACAGGATGTTGCAATTCAAAAAATTGAGTAAATTGAACTTAAAATTAGCCATATTTAAGAGATGTTTCAAAACGCTCTGTATAAAATAAACCAGTTCTATTATCATTATTCGTTAGATAAGTATCTTATAGGTCTGTTCAGTAAACAATTTTAAAATCAATGTAAACCTACCTAAATTATGATAATTTATTTTTGGGGTCTGCATCATTCTCTAATTTCATAAAAAAAATAATTTCTTGGCAACCATGCAATATTTAAAAAACAATTCTAGGGTTAAATACAGTGTTAATAAACATTTTTAAACTAAAATAAAATACAGGGTGTTCAATTTAAAAAATATACTTTTTTATTTGCCAAACAAAACTGCAACACCCTGTGTATCCAAAAATCATTTTAAAATACGTAGTTACTAAATCCATTCAACTTTTATTTACAACTTGTTTGCGTGTCTATATCACAAATAGAAATAATGAACAATTACGCACTAATGGAACACCCTGTATATTTTTTTATTATGGATAACGTCAAGGTGCGAAACCATATTATGGTTATTTCCTATGTGGTATTTCGATCAGTTTCATATATGATAACAGTTTTTAATTAAAAAGTTAAAATAATGAAGCTTATTATCCTGATATTGATTTCGAAAAGTGGTGTTTTAATCAAATACCTCTACCTACTAAATTTGAAGTTAAATACAAATAAATGTTTTGGTTGGTTAAACTTAACTCCTCTTCGCTGCTGGAACCTTTGAAAGAGATTTCTAGTTTCACACCACCTACTCTTACTCTTTCCCAAGCCTAAAACTTTATTGCTTGGACAACGTGGGTTCAAGATATCACAATGTATCGGAAATCTGCAATTACTGCCCTTTACTTCATTATAATTGATGACCTCATTGGAAATATATATTTTTTTCAAGAGATATAACTTTCTTATTGTTTTCAGCTTTTTTTAAACTATGTAACAGAAATATTAAACACCCTTTTAGTAATAAAGTTAATATTATTGTTCCATAGTTTAAAAAAACTGATAACAATAAGAAAAAAACAATAAATCCTGTCATCTGAAAAAAAAATATATTTTGTTGGTTACAACGTTTTTCAGGGAGGTCTTCAATTAATAAAAACATAATAACATCAGATTATCAATATTTTAAAATAAGAACAGTTCGTTTATAATAAATATTAGACATATGATTTACTGATCTGTAACTTAAATTATACATTTAGGTACTTTGAATTAGACTGAAGGTATAACAAAACACTCTTGCGAAAAAATTCATAAAAAAAATCTCGAAGAATCATTGATTTCGACTTTTAAAGGATTGATTACGAAATTTCTTTTAATTTTTTCCAGACTAATGTTCTGAAAGGTCAAAGATGTATCTCGGCGATCATTAATAATTGAACTTCTGACACTAGTAGAAAAACCTCTTCAGGTTTAATTTATTACCGTCACGGCCAGTGTTTTGTTGGTTTTAATTTCAAATAGAACACTTTGAAATGCCTGTAGAAATTTACAATATACCGTCCATCCAATGTAGTAGCACCCGAACATTAAATTTAAAATAATCTAAAATTGTTGTAGGTACAAACTTAAATAATATTTGTTTGACCTAAAATACAACCTTCGATTAAGGGTACCTTCTTTTTATTTTAAACCTTCGCTTGCAGGATTCATGCAAAATTTTCGAGTAACAGAAACAACTTTATTGACAAAAGATCTAGTATTTGAAAACTTTCAATTTCTGACTGACTGACTGACTCGTTTGTATGTGTAAATAAAACAACTTAAACACATTGAAGCCTTTACCTACTTTATAATATCGCATAAAAATCTTGTTTGACCATTTTAAAATATTGGTACCAATGTTAAAGCGATTAAAACATAGCAGGGGTGCTACATTATAGCAAGCAAGTATTCTCGAAATCAAAATAAGTCATCATGTGTGGAGCATGTCAGCGAGCCATCTATCTCTTCGGTGTGGCCTTTGAGCCACATTAAAATTCCCTTTTTCATTTTTCCCATGACTTAAACAAACAAATTAACCTTCCATAACTCTTGTTGGTTCCATCGTTAACATTGAAATCTTTGCACGCACCTCTAATCATCAATGATTTATATTAATTCGTATATTTAATTCTGAGTCGACTGGCGAGATTGCGCCGAGCAGCTAGGACTTACTTTATTAAGTTGTCGTTTTTGTTAATAAAATCAGTACCGGATCAAGATTATTTCTATTAGTACGAAGAATATAACTTATACCATAGTGCGTGAAAAAGTCGAGGGCCTCGATGAGAGACAGTTCTATGAGACATCATAAAAGCGCTTTCGACTTTGTATTTTACACTACTCTTCTGGAATTTTGCGGGGTAAGAGGTACTTCTTCTCAGGAAAAACTTGTTTCAAATATTAAAGCAGTTGAGCGCTCCAAGGATCAGTCCTTTAACCCCTGCTATTTTTCGTGTACATCAATGATTTCAGTCGCTAAATGCAACACTTGTTATTTTTGAATTTAGAGATAACGATATTGGCAATAAAATACCAGCAACATTAGATTTAGCTATGAAGCTAAATATCGACAAAACTTACTTTGTTAATTTCTCTTTCGCTTATAATAATAACATAAACAGTGTCAAACTATTTGGTGTGTACTTCGATAGGTTTACACTGGTTCACCCAGATGAATGAATTGAGTCAACAATTTTCAGACAAATCTTCCTTCTCAGATAACTAAGGTATGCTTATGGCTGCCAAATTTTACTTATAGCATGTACTGGACTAATTCATTGCTATCATACAGTACTATACTTTAGGGAAAGTCGTGTCATTCGGATATTCAAAATGCAAAAAAGCGAATTAGAATTTTAGCTGGTATTAATCCGAGTGAGTCTTATAGTGAAGGACCATCCACTGTTTATCCATTCCAAGACGACAAAAATGGTCCTTTTCACAAAAAATCGAAATAGAAGCTTCAGAGTTCCTAAACACAAAACTAAACTATTCATCAGAAGTACCTAGGTCTCACCTTTGACAGTGTTGACATGGAACTCATACCTAGAAAACCTAGTCAAATAAGCAACATTGCTTATTAAAAATGTCATCGAACCGTAGAGCGCACCTGGGTCTCTCCCCCAGATACTGTATCTAGTACCATGTGCCACAGTAGAGGTGATAGCCCCCTTCCCTTTGCACATCCTCTCTTATATTCAGATCTTTTACACTTATGTCTACTGCTCGCTTTGAGAGCATGTCATGTATCCACCTACTCTGTGGAACATTCCTGTTGTTTAGTGAGTGTATTATCTTGGGGAAGGTCTATGAAAACACCTAAGGCGGACCTCTTATTGTTCAAGGATCTCTCTAACCGGCCACCAACTAGGTGAAGGGCTGAATCAGTAGATCCGCTCGGAGTGTATGCATGCTGATTTGGGTTTAGTGGTGTAGTTTTAATCACCACATCCCTTATGTAATTTTTTCATAGCTATTCCAATGTCTTTATGGTACACGATGTCAAGCTGATTGTTAGAAATGTTTTTGGGACAGTCTAAAGTCTAATCCACCTTTCCAGGTTTGGGTATGAAGACCATTTTTACCACTTTCCATTTATAGGTGATATTCCTTAGAGACAACGAGGATCTTAATATACCTACCAGGCGTGGTACGAGTTCTTCTAAACCTTACTGAAGTAGGGCTGGATAGATACCGTTAGGTCCTGGCGATTTAAATGCATAGAAGCTAGATATTGCCCATCTAATTTTGTCATCGTCTACAATGTGTTTGGCAGTTTGCCAATCGTATACAGATGGGTTGTATATTTCTTTGCTTAGTCGAGTCGGCCACGTCTGTGATGACCGAGTCAGAAGTTTGATACAGTCTTTGAGGTATGCAGTTTTCTTTATAAACCGCACCAATATTGCGGTGTAGATCTCATGAGAGAAATTTTTGAAGCTCTGCAGAAAACCTTCGATTTCTTCACAGTAGGATCTCCATGCATCTCTCTATGTTTGTCTAACGATTTTTTTTTATTCATTAAGGTTACATTTGTAAGTGACCCAGTCCTCTTTGAGTTTTGTGGTTCTTGCCTTATTAAATGATCTCTTAGCCATCTTCCTGAGGTAATCCAAATCGTGACACCACTATGTTGTAGTCGTCACATGACGCTGGACCAGCCTTAGGGGGCAGAATTTCTTATAAGCATTGTTTATTGTGCTTTGGATAGTATGTGAATACTTTTCCAAAGCGTTGTTATTGTTCGGTGTTTCGACCTCCACCTCTCTCAGAGCCTCTTGGAGAAGGTGAGCATAGGCTGCCATGTCCGTCATTCTAGGATTCCGAGTTAGCGTGGAGGTCGGTAACATCAAGTTTATTTTGAATGTTAACTAGCGGTGGTCTACCATCGAAATGTCGTCAGACTTGCCAGTTTAGAATTGATTTATAGATACCAGTTGTGGATAAAGTGATATCTATTGGTGTTTGACTGCAATCAATGAATATTTAGAAACCATATTTAATGAATTGTAATATTGTGACTTATTTTATGTATTGTATTTTTAAATCATTGTTTTTTGACATCTACCTGGGATTTCCAAATGACCAAATCCATCATTGAAATTAATTTAATCGTACCTTTTATTTCCAGATATGGATGACGGAGACCTACCTCTTCCTGTAGCTCCAGGAAGCGATTCGCAGCACACAGCCCTTAATTACTCAACCCTGGCTAGCGCAGTCGCACAAGCCAACGGCCCCACCAACGATCCCAGTATCTCGTCAACGGAGACCCTCCTCAGGAACATCCAAGGCCTCCTGAAGGTCGCCGCGGACAATGCCCGCCAGCAGGAGAGACAGATCCATTACGAAAAAGGTACAAATAGCAACATGGTGTATCTTTTGTCCTTAGCCCAATATTATATGTACTTGGCGGCCACGCAGAAATGTTGAAGGCGTTTTTTTGTTCTATAGCGTGATTTTTAGTTGTGTAAATATGATGTTTTCCTGAATATTGTTTTCGAAATGACATTTTTTTGGAATCGGTCGGGAGCCGATGTCTTTGATTGAGTAACCGGGTCATCATGCATGGGCAGTTTACTTGATCATGGCTTAGGGATGTCAGATATAGGAAAAATGACCTTGTGTATAATAAATTAATGAAAAAAACTGAGAAGTAGTACTTACTGTATAAATTGGATATAAATCTTAGCAGATATACTATAAAAGTTGACCTGTTAATGTTATTGATTAATGCCGCGATATATTATGTGGTTCAACACCAAAATTTTTGAACAAAGAGAAATGGAACATAAAACCAACTGGTAATTAGTTTTCTATTTTAAATAAGTACTTTAGGTCTAGGACATTTGTTTGGATTTTTTAAATTCTAAATTTATGTAATATATAGACACTATTTAGAAAATTGTCAGTTTTTGATACAATAGGATTTTGAAAAACCTATTTTTATTAATTATGGAATAATATTTAAAATTCCTTCAAGAAATAAATACAATAAGTAGTAATTTTGTTATGGTATGTTTATTCTGCAAATTAATTAATTGTGAATAAATTAAGTATTATTTTTTTATTGATACTTATTTATATCAAAATAAATTTTCAATAATAGGTAAGTTTTAAAATTTTTTCTTTCTGATTTTCCAAAAATATATTTTTTAATTATATACCAAACTGACCTTAATAGAAAAATATATGTATGTACCATAAACAAAATTGTTCGTAAATTAAATTTGTATCATTGAGATTTACAAATATTTTTTAAATAAAAATCATTTTCTGGTTTTTAAAATGTCAAAAACAAAAAAATCTTAATTTTTTTTATTTTTGTGAATTTTGGGAATTATTTTAAAAAAATTTTAATTAATAAAGTACTTAAATAGTAATAATTGATTGAATCCATTTTACGTACAAAATTATCTGCTTTACTTAATCAATTTAACAAATATTTTTCTAGTATCCAATCTGCTAGGGCATGTACAAATTTTTTCAAAAAAAAAAATCTTAAAGCACCGATATTGTGCACATATCCTAAAAATAAGTCTAGATTTTATAGATGTATATACAATAATTACTACATAGCGAAAATGGGTCCATGTGCTGAGTCATACAATTTTTTTTTATACAAAAAATACGGAAAATAATTAATATTTTATTAAAGCAAATATTTAAGGAATATGAGAATTTTTCGTACTAAACTTCTTATAGCCTATTTTGTATTTATTTAAATATATAGGGTGTTCCGTAATGATTTTCCAATATTTTAAAAAGGTATCTTATTTCGGGAGATTTTTCTATAAACTTTTGCAATTTGGGTCCTCTTTGTCGAGATTTTTTTGTCTCAAAATGGCTAGAAAAAAAAAATGGTATAACCTATTTTCATCAAAAAAATTAATAATACCATTTTTTTCTCGCCATTTTGAGACTTTATTATCTGGACAGAGAAGATCCAAATTGCAAAATTTTATAAGCACACCTTCTTAAAATAATGGAACATTAGAGAACATTTACGTTAAAACATTTATATTATTTATAAATTGTATAATTCAATGCAAAATATAATTTTTAGAAGCCCTGATGATGGTTTTATACATCGTCGAAATAGGTATGAGCAAATAGTGCTATTATAAACAAAAAAGAAGTTTAGTAATATAAAACAATAATTTATTTTTAAGTCCAAGCAATTTTATTTTTATTACTAAAATATTAATTATTTCTATGCTAGAAATTCAGAAAAATTATTTTTATGTTAATAAAAAAACTTGCACAATTTTCAAAAATTTCCTTCCCGGTGATGTATGGCAGTACGTGGACATAGCTAAATAAAAAAATGTTATTGTAATTGTTAGTGAGAACAGCTTAGTTTTACTGGAAGGGGCACGCAATTATATATACATATATATATAAAAAAAACAAAAACTATAAAGGAACTGACCCGGTGTTTTCAGTGATGGAATTTTTAGTATTCTGTCAAAAATTATTCAAGTGGTTGATTTTAGTACTTAACTATTTAGTGATGTGCCATTCTTAAAAGTGTTGTTAGATCGTAGCATTCATTTAAATAACTGCTATAGTTAATTTAACTTAAAATATTTATACATACTTTTATCGGATCGAAAAGAAAAAATTTGGCATCTGGATTTTTCTATGTTATTTTGTATTACACATAAACAAACTCAGTGTAAAAGAGTTACCCATGTAACTACTGTCGAATAGACTAACATTACAAATTTTAAAAGTTATACAGGGTATTTCTACCACAATATGTCGATTGACTTATTTAAACATTATTAAGAAATGTAAAAAACCAATTTTGAGTTTGAACAACTTGTATCTCTTTTAAATAAACAGACAATTTAATTTCAATCGACATATTTTGAACTCTATCTAGTACTTACTTATGTAGTATAAAATCATGTAAAAACTAAAGAGTGTGTAGTGAAATTTTAATTTCTTCAGGACAAACCAGACTTCTAAAATTTTTATCAGTCTTTTCAAAGGTTAGATGGGTGGACCTATTACACATTTACGCTGTGTATATACACTTTTTTTTTAAATATACAAGATGTTGCAGTAGATAAGAATTATCCTAATCAGTGGCATAAATAGACCACCCTGTATCGATTACGTAATAAAATGGTTTGTGTAAAACTTGAAAGGCATAATGGGTATTCTATCACAAATTATTTTTATTGTGCTGCAAATTTTCGGTATACGTAGTGCAGCCTTTATAGACTAACCCTGTATTTAGCAAGTCAAAAGTAAAACTGAATATTATTTGTTGCAAGCCTTCTCTTGTTATTATGTCCAAATATATTCTGTAAATATTTTTTGATGATTTCGAATTAAAAAAAAAAAAAAGTATATATTGTAATGCGAGCCATTTTCGACCCGTAAGATCTTGCTCTAATTCCTTAAGCTCCTCTTTGCCTTGTTTGGGCTTCTTACGGTTCCACTTGTTCGATTACCAAAACCAAGTGATAGAGTTACGAAAAAGGACGTCAAGGCCCAAAAGAATATTTCTATAAGAAGAAGAAGCGCAGGAGGAAAGAAAGTTATACCATTTACATTTACAACGTTTTATAACAAGTACATCCTGATACTGGTATTTCAAATAAGGTAATGAGCATTATGAACAGTTTCGTAAACGATATTTTCGAACGTATTGCTGCTGAACAATGTCTTAACTTCAATGGACTGTCTTACAACAACAAAATAGCCTATTTATATAAAAAGGTTAAGGTTTTCGAACCTTCCACTGAATTATTTTTATATAAATAGGCTGTTTTGCTGTGACAGATCAGTCAGTTGAAGTTGAGACATTACTGCGGGTAGTTAGATATAGTTAGTTAGATTAATCTGCTAGTAGTTGTGGACCGTTTATTGTAATGTGTACGACGAGAAGAAGAAGATGTTATATTATGTCGAGAATGGGGTGTTATTACAGTGCGACCTAAAAGATCTATTGTGTCCCCTTCTGTCGCCAATGCACTAAGGAAATATCTCAATGCCTATAACGACCCTTCCAATCCTATTTTCTCAAAAAGTGTAGGATTTGAAGTGGCTATTCTCCCTCTACTATTTGATATCCTCCTAGTTATAGTGCCCTTGGATTCTGGAATGCTACTCATTCAGTTAGGATGTGAATGGAGGTTTCGTCCTCCTCCTCACAGAATCTGCACTCACTATCCTCTACTACTCTCAGTTTACTTAGGTGTCCTTTTAGTCTGCAATGCCTAGTAAGGATCCCTGTTATAATACGTAGCCTGTTCTTGCTCAGGCAGATGCAGGCTTCCGATATTTTCTGGTTATATTCTTCCAGAAGTATCTTGGCCTGTCTCAGTCCCAAGAGATTATTCCAATTATCGGTTCTTCTACTGCCTAATTCTTCTTTAATATCTCCTAATATTAAGTTACTACTGATACCGCAGAACGGCTCAGGTCCTACAAAGGGTGTTTGAGCCCCTTTCCTTGCAAGACTATCTGCAATCTCGTTACCCTGTATTCCGTTATGTCCCGGGACCCAAATGAGAGTAACTCTATTTTTCTCGCCTAGCTCATTCAATTGTTCTAGGCATCTCCAGACTATTTTTGAGCTAATTACGTAAGAACTCAGCGCTTTGATGGCTGCTTGACTATCGGACATGATGATAATCTCTTGTCTATTCCAGTGCTTTCTATGGTTTTGGAACCGTCCGTATACCACTGAATAGCACGTCTTTCCATTGCAAGCGCAATGAATTCTTGGCTCCATTATTTCTTGCAGTCCAGCTCTGTGGTTTTGAAGTTTTTCACAAAACTACTTCTTTAGCATTTTATCCTGGGGCATGTCCCAGGTATCTTTAGTCCTGAAGCAAGTAGACTTTCGTCTGATGTGAGGCTGATTGGTCGGAAGGATTTAGTATCCTTTTTCCCTACTTTTGGAATAAAGGTGACTCTGGCCCTTCTCCATGTTTCTGGTATATATCCCAGCTCCAGACTGCTCCGGGATAGCCGAATTATGTGTGGTAGTAATTCCTCCTGTGCCTGCTGAAGCAGGGCAGGAAATATTCCATCCACACCTGGAGACTTAAACGGTTCAAAATTGTTTACAGCCCACTTTAACCGATTTCTGCTGCAAAGAAGACTGTTCATAATTGCCTTATTTGAAATACCAATATCAGGATGTACTTGTTTAAAAACTTTCGTACCCTAGGTTGTTGAATCATGTCTCCAAAAATAAGCTGCAAAAAGGCCGGCAAATCTCAAAAAATCTTTCTAAAACCGATAAGAAGAAAAAACAGGTAGAAGGAAAGTTATGCCATTTATATATACAAAGTTTTAAAACAAGTACACTCTGATACTTGTATTCCAAGTAAGGCAATGAGCATTATGAACAATTTCGTAAACGATATTTTCGAACGTACTACTGTTAAAGCTTCTCTGATTACACATTG